CGGTAAGAGAACAAAGGTGGCCTGTTAGCCTGACGGCACGGGGATAGCAGTGAGTCAGGAGAACAGAGCAGATGGCGCCAGAAAGGGAGTGCAGAGTGTCCCACACTTCATCAGCACAGATTTCCCTGAGGCCTCTCCAAGTTAGATGTAACCTGACGCCTGCCATCCCAAGGGACTGTGTGGATGAAACAAGGAAGCAACTTCCAGGAAGAGAAGCCCCCCCCAGGAAGAGAAGCCCCCCAGGAAAAGAAGCCCCCCCAGGAAGAGAAGCCCCCCCCAGGCTGCTCACCAACAGGGGTGTATGATCCCCCAGTCCCACTCCAGGCCACCCATTTTCAGCAACTCTACTGTGATTTGGTGACTATGAGTGGGAGAATGGCCTTGAATTCCTTCCTGCTCTGAGTGCTAGGGTTACAGGCATGCCCCAGTAGAATCCACTGTAATTTGTATTTTTAAAGGCATTGTGGAAAAGTATGTTACTTCCGAAAACCTGCTGTCTGGTTCTTCATTGCTAGAATGAGTCAGTGAGCTGAAGTCAGGGAATGGTCTGGACCACACCAATGCCATTTGGCAAAAGTAGAAGCCAAGACAGATTAAGAACTTGCCCACAACATCTGCCATAGGGTGTGCTCAGACTGTTTTATTTCAAATTGCCCAGATTTTAAGTGACTATGAAATCAGCTTAATGGGTGTAGTCAGACTTTTTGTTGGTGCTGTGGGTAATTGATATGTTGTCTGATAACTCCCTTTCTGAACCTCCTTCATGGAGAGCACTTAGGCAGAAGCTACATCTTCAACGCTTACCTCTTGGTGTTGCTTCCCTTGACTATTCGTTGTAAACAATCTCCCAACACACTCACACAGACACACACACACACACACTCACTATGCACCATGCACACATACCATACATACACACACTATAGACACTATACACATCACACATACACACACAAACACACTATACACACTTAACTATACACACACCATACATATACACACTCTCACACACACACTATACACGTCATACATATACACATTCACAAAGACACATTATACATATTCACTATTCACATACCATACATATACACATTCATTCACACACTATCGACATTCACTATACACACACCATACATATATACACTTACACACACTATACACACTCACTATACACACCATTCACACACACATATATACACACACTATACACATCTCACACATGCACATACAAGCATAAACCACACACAGACTCACACTCATACACATATACACACACTACACACACACAACACACATGTACATACACATACACACAAGCACAAACCACACACACACCACTGCTTTTATAACACAATTAACTGAAAAGCTTCCCTCCACCTACCCATCCATCCCACTAAGAATATTGGCTCCATGAGCTCAGGGCCTGGGGTTCATTGTTGTATCCCAGAGCCTACAACATTGCCTGGTTGATACACACTTAACACCCAAAGGCATGAAAATAAATTTTCTCTGACTTGTGGATGGTTCTACTCCAAAGGCTGCTGGTCCATTTCCTGTTGAACTTGAAGAATCTGGCATCGCTCTCCACTCCAAACAGCAATAGTGCAAGCTCGGGCCTTAGCCCTTCCTTCCTCACAAGCCTGGGCTCGCCCTCCCCTCAGAGCGTGCACCTTGTTGCTTAAGCAGCAATAGTTGCCATGAGCTCCGACAACCTACCTCAGTCCACAGACGCTCACTTACACCAACTGCCCTTTAAAACTTGCTAAACTTTTAATTGTTTTGTAATAATTTTACTTCTCAAATCTATGGAACTATCTGTAGTCAAGAACTATGTTGTGGAATATTATTTTTAGTAATTTATTTACTTTTATTTCACTTGCATTGGTATTTTTCCTGCATGTATGTCTGTCTGCGGGAGGGTGCCAGATGGCTGCCATGTGGGTGCTGGGAATTGAACCAGAGCCTTCTGGAACAGCAGTCATCTTAGCCAATGAGCCATCTCTCCAGCCTGTGGAATATTATTTTACCTACATTTGTTTATGCTGACTTTGTTTAATTATGTAAAGAAGTGTTCCGTCGTTTCACCTTGACTGCCTACGGCACCTGACTGGTCTAATAAAGAGCTAAGCAGCCAATAACTAGGCAAGAGAAGGCCAGGCAAGGCTGGCAGGCAGAGAGAATGAGTGGGAGGAGAAATCGAGGCTTGAGAGAGAGGAGAGAATGAAGGAGGAGGAGAGGAGCACGCCTGGGACCAGAAACCAGGCAGCCACCAGACAAACGGAGAAGCGGTGAGAGCCAAATATGCAGAAAGAAAGTAAAAATCCCTGAGGCAAACATAGATGGAGACAACAGACTAAAATAAGAGCGTTCGTAACTAAGAGCAAGTCTCCACATATGATTGGGGACCGGTTGGTGGTCTGAAACAAAAGGTCTGCTACAGAACTAACTCCAACCATTTCCACCACTAAACTGTTGGAATCATGCAGTGTATAACCTTTGCTACAGAACTAACTCCAACCATCTCCACCACTAAACTGTTGGAATCATACAGTGTATAACCTTTGGAGGCTTTTTTTATTTTTTGACCAACATAACTCCTTTGACAAGTGTCCACATTGTTGGGTTTATGTGCAGTCATTTGTTGCTGAGTCATAGTCTATTATGTGACTGTACCACATTTATTTTAGCTAATCACCTTTGGGGGAAAAAAGCCATTCCAGTTTGGGTAATTTCTGAATAGAACCACTGGGAACATTTAGGTATAGTTTCTGTATGCACTTATTTCCCCTATATAGGATAAACATCTCATAGTTGGGTCATACCACACTGTATAAGAATTCCAGGAGCTTCACATAGTCTCTAGCTCTTCCTACTACCAGTTTTGTTTGCTTTTTAAAAAAGCAAATTTAGCAGATGGGAAGTCATGTTACATGCTTTTAATCCCAGCACTCATGGGGCAGACACAGGTAGATCTCTGTGAGTTTGAGGCCAGCATAGTCTGCAGTTCCTGTGACACCATGTAACTTACCAAATCAACAGGTGTGCAGAAAAATATTTCTACATAGTGAACTGCAGAATGTTTTCACCCATTCTGTTTTATTGGACATCAGCTACTCTTACTAATCAAGGGGCACAAATCTTAAAAAACAGATGGATGGACATTCCAAGGGCAGGTCAGCACGTTGCTGAGGGGTAAAATGAATCCCACATTTTTCAGATGAAGCAGAAATATTGGTTCAACATGTTAAGACCTCAATCCAATCTTTCAAAATTACAGGTTAATTCTTATTTTTCTTGGATGATCACCAGTAAAATTTAATTCTTTGTTGGTCTTTATAAATTCAATAGTATAAAGACCATGGGTTTGCTCGAGAAAACTGAATGTTGAAAAGTATTGAATAAAAAAATAAATTGGGAAAAAATAAAAGAGCAAACAGACTGAAGCATGGGATGAAATGTGTGTGATGCATTTGCTTTTCACAGTAGGGAGCAATGCACCCATGCAGACCCAAGCAGAAGGGGCGAGTGCACCGCACAGCAGGGTGGAAGCTGAGTTAACACATGTAGGCCGAAGGACCACACTCCTCAGTGCAAGGCCACCAGGAACAGTAGAAATAAATGACCAAGCAGACTTTCTGTAACATAAAAAGAAACGTCATAGAATTATGAAAGTGAATTTTATTATTTAGGTAATGGTGTTTCATATTACATAATATCCAATAAAGCTTTTTAAATTTTAGTACATCAAAATGCAATGGCTATACATTAGTTAATGCTGTGTGCATAGGATCTGTCTTGGTTATGACTGTGCGCTGGATCAGCTATATACATACTAAGAACATATATGATAAAGTACAAAAACACAAGAAGAGGGTAAATGGGAAGTTATCCTTGGGTTATAGTCATCAGGTAACATATACTCTTTGTCACATAATCATGTCACAGCTGAAAACATGCTAATTAACCCACATGGCAATGTGTCTATTTGATCTAATACAGCTCTGGCGTGATGACACTAAGAGTGTGGTAACATTTCACAGGTAAAGGCTAAGTTCTGGGGCATGAACTCTGTTGATTAATCCACAAAACACACCTGAGGCATCTTTTTTTTTGTTTTGAAAGAAAAAAAAGGAATGTTCTGACACAGTCCAAGCTTTATTATACAAATGAAGCATTTAATAAAGCTTACTTTTTCTGTTCTGAGCTGAAGTGGACACTCTGACTTACGAGATCAGCAAATGAAGTCCCTCTGTGGCAGAAATAAAATCAGGCTTTCTGGTTAAGCCAGTAATCTACCACGATAGCCTCCAAATTTGCTATTTATTACTCGTTTCTGGTTTGCAACCTACTTCCTTTCACTAGGTTCTAAGTATATCAAGCAAAGGGCACGCATGCATGCGCACACACCCACCTACCACACACATACATACCACACACAACACACACATACATACCACACACAACACACACATACATACCACACACAACACACACATACATACCACACACAACACACACATACATACCATACACAACACACACATACATACCACACACAACACACACATACATACCACACACAACACACACACAACACACACATACATACCACATACAACATACACATACACAGCACACATACACAACACACACGAACATACCACACACAACACACACGTACATACCACACACACATACATACCACACACAACACACACATACATACCACACACCACACACATACATACCACATACAACATACACATACACAGCACACATACACAACACACACGTACATACCACACACAACACACACATACATAACACACACAACACACACATACATAACACACACAACACACACATACATAACACACACAACACACACACATATAAACACACACAACACACACATACATAACACACACAACACACACACAACACACACACATCACACACACCACATACCACACACACATCTCACTCATACACACACCACACACATATAAACACACACACCACACACACACATACACCACACACACACCACATACACATACCACACACATACAAATACCACACACACATACACACACCACACACACACACTGCTTCGTTCCCAGCCTCTGAAAGCATCAGATGAAATGGTGCCTCCATTCACAAAACAAGCATCTGGGTTTTGTTAAGTTAATGAAGGGAGATTGTTACATGCCGACTCTCACTATTACAATGTCTCAGAGTAAGGAGTCCACGAGCGAGTGCATGTCACTGTCCCGGTCCTACTGGGGCACAAATTTTCAAGATGTCTAAAAAAAAACTTGAAAAATTTAGAGTTAATTTCTGTAGTTGAAATTAAGGCCTTTAAAATACTGATACCACCCGTGTTTCACATTCCAAGGGGTTCTGGTGTGAAGATTTTAAAATAAAGTTTAAATTTTTATAATTCAATTTCCAACCACAAAATAGATGTGTGTGTATTGGGGGGAGTTAGGGCGATTCTTAAGATACCCTTAAAATTTCAGGGCTGCTATTCCAAACATTTTTTTCCTAAACATTCATGCTTCAAACTTTATAGTCCAATAAGTTAATTGGGAGTGAATGGAACCATTTAGACTTCTTTCTTCATACTCATTCTTTGTTTTGCAGCTTCTGGCCACCTCCACATACAGACCATCACACACTCCATCCTTTGTAATTTTGATATGAAAATTCCAAAAGCCCAAAGAAACAGAGCAAACAGTAAGCTGAGTGCTGCCGGCTTCTTCTGTTACATCTAATTGCAATGAAAACAGAAACGGGAAACCCCCACCGGCCCTCTTCCAGCCTTTCTTGAAGGGTTTTCGGCTTGTTTACAAAATCCAAATACATACATTTCTTCTTTCCTAGCTACCAAAAAGAGCAAAGCTCTTAGTGTGCATCCTAATAAGAGCTCTCTCCAGCATCTCACAATGCAGTCATTACACAGCCTCCCAGGACAAACAAAGAAAGAAAAGAAAGAAGAAGAAAAAAATCACAGACTTTAAATACTGAACTTAAGAAACAATAATAGTAACAACAATAATAATGACATTTAAAGAGAAACTACCCAGCTGTAATGAGTTTCCTATCGTTTGGCCTAATACAAAGAACATCTAGGAAATTCATGGCCTTTTTTCAAACAAAGGGTGGGTGTCTCACCTTTGAAGGGAAGATGACCATATTTCCTCTAGCATCAACTGAAAGGAAATAATCAAGATAGACTTTAAGTTCATTTAAAATCGAAGCATGCCAACAGTATGGAATCTTAACACATTAATGGGGTCGATTCCAGGAGTGTCAGTGTTCTAACCCTGCCGCATAAGAACATAGTCTGCTGATTTAGATTTGTCCCTTGTCTGAACCTTGAATGAGAAAAAAAATCTTTCTGTTACTTGGTTCCCTGATGTCAAAACTAATTGATTTAGTCAAGCTCATTCCCTGGATTTGGGCAAATTTCAACTGAGTACACTTGTTGGCTTACAGTATGATATAAGAAATATATGATCCAAATGTTTTTCTGATCAGATGTTTAACATTCATATGATGTTTGTGAATACTCATGTAACAAATTTATATGCATTGAATAGTATTTGGTGACGTGAGTTGTTTTGTGTGTGTGTGTGTGTTTATGAGACTTATTACTGAAACCAGTTTATTATAATCCCATATTTGAAAGCTGAAGTGGGACTGGCAAATCTTTTTTCTCCTCATCACTGGAATAGTTTACTTTAGCAGTCAAATAACGTGCAGCTTTAACTTGTAAAACAAACAAAAAAATGTCATCTAAACAATTTACCTTTAAATTAAGTAATCTCTGAAACTTACTGCAGTTAATAAATTAACTATTAATTTCTTTTTGAGCAACTGACTCAGGCAGAGTGGAGGTGCATCTCCGAAGAAAGCCTCACCCAGGAGGGCTACTACAAAGGGTTTAAGTAATTTCCAAAGGAGGTTGTTTCTTGGTGGAGAATTTCTGGTCTTTACAAATTTTTTTCTCGATGAAATCACTTGTCTTTGAATCTTGAGTATATCCTAAACCTTTGCTTAGTGTAGTTTCTGAAGGGGTAAATTTCTGCACATAAGTCCATCTCAAATCTACTCACAAAGGTAGAAGTACTGAAATACTTTGTTAGATAGTTGTACACATTTACTGATATATGTGCATATGTTTAATTGAGCCGGGCAGTGGTGGTGCACGCCTTTAACTGAAAAAAAAAAGTTCCCTTAGGAAGTTTTTGCTGGCAGGATCCAAATTCCTTGGGCCTTTTTACTGTGATTCAGACATACTTCCAGTAACGGCAGCGCGCGCCTGTGAGGAGCCGTGAATTGGTAAACATGCCTCATCTTCAGGCCACCTGATTTCTGCCCACTCAGAGAAGCGATGGCAAACGTGAGGCAGAAAAACGAACAAAAGCCCCGTGTTTTCCTCCCGTTAGTGAGGCGGGCGTCCCTCTAACATCCTAGCTGCCTCTGGCTTCTCACTGGCCAGCCTCCTCGGTTTGCAGCTTCTGAACAGCACTATCAAGGAGCTCCATGGACTCTCTGAGAGAGACATGCATTTTAAACGACTTGGGCTTAATGGTCAGGCCATAACTGAAACTCATGCTTGAGGGCTCGTTTTGGTTAGCCTTGAAATGGCACTGGTGAGCGAGGATGGAGAAGAAGAGGAACAGCAGCATCTTAGACAGCTCTTCGCCGATGCACCGCCGTTTGCCCACCGAAAAAATCATCACACTGCTGGCTAGTTCCTTGTTGATGAAGCCGTCTTTGTCCAGGAATCGGGCTGGATCAAATTCCTCTGGGTTAGGCCACTTCAGTGGGTCATGGTTCACAGACCATTGGTTAACAAAAACCACCGTGTTCTTGGGGATGTAGTAGCCTAACACAAAGGTGTTGGCAGTGGTGGCGTGAGGAATGGTGACAGGCAAAAAGCTGGAGAAGCGCATGGATTCATACACAAAAGCCATGACATACGGCAGGTTGGGCTGGTCACCCATGCAGGGTAGACGGTCCCTCCCCACAACCTGGTCCAGCTCAGCCTGCACCCGAGCCTGCACATCCGGGTATCTGTTTGGATTTCAGTATGAAAGGGGAGGGGAGAGAGGGGGGAGGTAGAGAGGGGGGAGAGAGGGGAAAGAGAGAAATTAGTTCATCCTTCAACTGACAGCACACTACAATTCTACTTTAATTCCACAAACTATCTAGGTCTGTGACTGAATTACAATTTTCGAAAAACCAAATCAGGTTACTAATTTCACTCAATATTACAGTTAAACAATAACAATTTTGTTTTTCTATAATAAGCCTCTTATGGTCCAGGCTTTGTTTCCCACTGTGAGAAAATAATGCTCTTAAGTTTTTTAATAGTCTAAAAATGCACGATAGTGGTCAAACTTACTTATGTACTGGGCACAGTGCCTAGGCCCACAATACATTTTAGACACCCAGGAAAATATCTGTCTATCTTGTAAGGCCTTCAGACCTAAACAAGTGGACTTCTAAGCAGAAGTTCTCATAACACGTTTTCAAGATTCATTTTATACCAGCGTAGTCATAAAATAATTTTTCAATGTGTTTATAAAGAAGTCTACAAAGGCAAAAGGACCCCAGGCCCACAAAAGTTAAAACACTGCTCTGAAAGCAAGTTATTTTCCTTCCCTCATATCCATGGGTGATAAGTTTAAAGAGCAGAGCCTGTCAGATGGGCACACATTTTACTTTGTGTCCCTATTTTATAAATAGTATAAGTAAGTAAGTTTAAAGAGCAGAGCCCTGGTCTGTCAGATGGGCACACATTTTATTTTGGCACTGTTGCTGATAGAAACTGGGATAGTTCTTTGGGAAGACAAAAATCTTAGTGGGCAGCAAACTCTATAAAAGACAGCAATCCCTTGGTCCCTCATTTTTAACCCCAATTATTTACCCAGAGAAGCCTATTTTCAGAAAATAGTGTAACAGGTATAATGATATATAATCATAACAATACTTAAAACTTAAAATGCAATCAAAACCAACCAATTAACACTAAAGCTCAAAACTGCTTTGATATATGTGCAATATCAGGACAAGATAGTATGCAGCCATCAAAATGACTAAAATCTAGACCAGAGAGATGCCTCTGTGGTTAAAGGCACCAGCTGTTGTTGCAGAGTTTTTGAGATCAATTCCAGCACCCATGTGACAACCGACTGAAGTTTATAACTCCAGTCCCAGGGACCTCTGCAGGAGCCAGGCATACACTTGGGCAAAACCTCCATACACGTAAAAAAGCATAAAAATTTAAAAAACCTTTTTAAAAGAAAAATAACAAACTAAAATCAATGCTAACTGTCAAGGAAGTTTAAGCAGAAGGCTCTAAAAGGGTGGGTGTGGAGGAGGGTAATTGCAGCCACTGAAAAGAAGCATTTAAATGGTGACATAACAGAACTTCCCAGCATTTGCCACGAAGGGCCAAATGGTAAGCATTTTGGACAGCATGAAGCAAACCCTCCCTGCAACAGTCACTAGTTTGCCCTCTAGTGTGAAGCAGACATTTTGTAGGAGTGGGGGCCAGCTACCTTAGTAAAATTTATACTATTAAACAGGCATTGTAATTTGCCCACTCTAATTATATTGCCTCTGCACGAAAAAGAAAAAAGTAATGTCATCTTTTAAAAATTATTTTATTTCTTTGGAACACATGGGAAGCTTCTTACCCAGCTCAATAGTTAGTGGGCTTTTGTTTGTTTGTTTGGTTTGTTTTGTTTTCTCAAAGGGTACGCGCTCATCTTGGTACATGAAAGACCTGTGAGCCCTCTCCAAGAAGGCCTTCTTCCTGATCTTGGGTTCAATTCCCTCCACTCTCTATCTGCCTTCCCTGCCCCTGCATCCCAATATTTCCAGTATATGTTTCCACGATTTGACGTTAATATTGAAAAGTTATTTTCAATATACTAAAAATATGTGAAAGTAAAAAAAAAAGTGAACGTAGATCACAACATCTAAAGAAATACAAATTGTGTGAATCCCAATAGGAAGTGGGCTCTGCCTGCCAAATTCGGAGGGGTGTGCACATTCAGTATCTCTTATGTGCTAAGAATCAGAGTAGGGTTTCCAGATACAATACAGGCTAAATCAGAATTTCACGTAAACAATAAATGATCCAGCGTCAAATTCCAATAGAGGGTTCAATTGCTTAGACTACCTGACAGCGGCAGGAGGGCGGCTGCCTTGGAGGTCTGCACCCTAACCCAGGGATTAGGATGGCCCGGGCGCCTCCTGGACACACCTTACACTCCTCTAGAAGCTGATGGCACAGAAGTGCCTGCTCCGGCTTTCTTTGCCTCCGGGTAAACCATATTCTCAGGTTGTCCTCTGAGGACCTGCCTCTGCTGGCTTCCTTTGCCTGGTAACCAAGCCCTGCCCTGCCACTGGGTGTTAAGACCCAGGCTGGGCAGCTTCCAGGGTGCTAGCTGTGCACCGTTTAGTTAACTTTTAACTGCGCCTCCTTTAACCTTAGAACTGGTCCAATTCTGCTTTTATTGAGACACCATGGATCAAGGCTGATCAGTCCTCATGGGAAAAAAAAATCTTGTTTTTGCGGGGAGGGATCTTCATGAATTTGTTCCCAGTCACAAGAGGAGGGGGGAGGGTCAGAGACAATTCCAGAGATGCTGGCAAGGCTAGGTGGGGGAGCGCATCTTGACCCGCCCAGTTTGTCCCGGCTTATCTGCCCTGAGATCTCAGTTTTAAGGAATGGTGGGGTGGGGGCAGGGCGAAACCTCAATCCAGGAGCCCAGCTAGTGACCTTTTCAGCCACACGCCCTTTTCCAAAGGAGAAAACGCAAGGACCGACCCATTCATCCCTCCTGGAGGCTTTACCTGGTAAAGAGGATGAGCAGCCAGAGCAGCGCGGTGGAGAGGGTGTCCTGGCTGGCTCCGAAGATGTCCATAATCGTACCGGGCACCAAATCCAGCCCGAAGGTACCCTCGCTAGGGCCTTCGGCCTCCTTCTTTTCGGCGGAGAGGATGAAGGCGTCCATCATGTCGCGGGGAGCAGCCCCGGGCATCAGGCTTTCACGGTGCCTGAAGAACTTGTCCAGGACAAAGTTGGTGAAGCTGCGGTTGACCTGCTCGAACTCGCGGAAGGTGGTGCGCACCGGGTTAGGGAAGAGTTGCAGCCAGGGCAGCACGTCCACCAGGCTGCCCGCGCTCACCGTGCGCCCAAACTCTTCGTTATGGCTGAGCAGCTCCAAGAACTCGGCATCGTCGTGGTTGTACCGGCAGCCGAAGCACACGGCGCTCATGACATTGGCCACGGCCACGATGATCGGCTGTGTAGGATCCAAAACGGCGCCACCCGAGCAGCGTCGCACCAGCTCCGCCACCAACTCTCGCGCCTCGCACAGCGCGTGGCCCTCAAGGAGGCGGCGGCTGCGAGGGTGACGCGTGGAGAAGGCACGCATCGTACCGTAGGCCGCGCGTCGCTGCGCCTTCCAGCGCCCAGAGTAGTGGCCAAACGCCAGGCTGCTGCCACCAGACACCACGCTGAAAGAGGCGAAGGGCGGCCGGTCCGCGAAGATGTTTCCCTGCTGCACCAGGGCTTCGTGGATGGCACTCTCGCCATTCAGCACCACCACGGGACAGCTGCCCAGACGGATCTGGAAAACGTCGCCATAGCGCCTTGCAAGGCGAGCGAAGTACAGGTGCGAGGCCGGGCCCACAGATGCCGCGTTGCCGATCAGTGGCCATGGGAAAGGACCCGGGGGCGAGGACCATGGTTTCCGCCGCCACAGTCGCAGCAGCCACTGTCCCAAGTGCACGGCTGCCAGGACAGAGAGGAGTAGCAGAAGTGTTGTCTGCTGGGTAGACAGCGTGTTCGGCTGCTGCGCGCTGTCTGCGCTAAGGCTAGTGGCCATGCTGGGGACACAAAGGCAAAACGTAACACTCAGGTGTGCAGAGGAGAAATAAAAGAGAGTGGGTCCCCGCGACCCAGCCCCAGCATGGGGCTACAGAGCCCTGCTGAACAGAGGGAAGGCGGTGCATAGCTCGGGTCAAGGATGGCATTCTGGACAAGATGCTTAAGACATCCCTTCCATACCCAGCCCAGCCTCCAGCAGAAACATGCCAGTTTCAGAATCCCCAGCTGCTTAACGGTTCCCAGAATCCTGACACAATACAGGTGGCAGAAGCAGAGGCCGGCTTCTATCCAAGTACCTAACACCCCACCCCTGACCTGAGAACTGGGCTGAGAAGGCGGCTCCGCAGAGAGACTGACCTGCGATGAAGTGTGCTTTTCCAGCGGTGTGGAGCAACCGGCTCTGGGAGAAGCCCGGGGGCCTCTGCCCAGAACAAGACTTCAACCTAGGAGTCCCCAGGGACCTGGAGGCCCTCCCTAGACACCTGACGTCCGCTGCTTTAGCGCCCACTCTTGGCTCAGTCAGAACCTAAGCTTAGATCAGGATGGAGGACCGGGGGTGGGGAGGGTCTCAGTTTGCAGAGCTCCACTGCGCTTGGGGCTCCGCAAAGTCGTGGCTTCGTCACGGAGCTGGAGTCGCAGTTGAGATGCGCGGGGGTTGGGAGTTGATAAAGTGGAGTCAAATCTCAGGCCGCCGGCGGCTTTCAAGCTGGTGTGGCAGAGGTGTCCGCCACGCACCCCAGAGGCGACACGCGCCATCCCTCTGCCCGGGGTTTTTAAGGACTGAGTAGACACTGGAGGAAACGGGACCTTGAGGGGGTGGGGCGCGAGGGGCGGGGCGCGCTGCGAAAGTCTGGGGCTTGGACTCCGGTCTGGCGCCAAGGGTGACCCAGGGTGGTCCAATGGGAAGTGAGCGCTCGGACCTTCCTGGAACAGAAGCTGGCAGTTTTGCTGGGAGCCGCCTGGTAAAGTTTTCCTTCGGCGATAACAGCTTGTCATCAACCATTCCCCGGTCAAGACCCCACGCTTTCCCCTGTAGCAAGTTAGAGACACAATTTCCCACGCTTCTGCGCGCTTGAGCAAAGAGCACCCAAGAGCACGCCCTCCTCCTGAAGGTGACTCGAGCTGGGTGTCTTGTGCATGATCCTTAGGCACTGAGCCAGAAAAGGAAACGTAGTTTTAGGGACCGAGTAGCGTGGGTTGCGACTGTTTGTGTAGTGTTTACATTTGTCTCAAGGTTTTTGCAAACCATTTGGCCCTCCAGCCATGGCCCTGTGTGTGCTCAGATCTCTTTGCACCTCTGCTGGCGAGATCAGGAAACCCTGAAGGCTGCTGCGCTAGGCACCATCCTTAGGCACGCAAAGCTCCGCAGGCCTGGAGGCTTCGAGGGACGGACACGCCACCTGCTGGACGCTCTGCTCACACCCAGGCTGTGATCCAAGCTGCGGCAGCCCCGGAGCGCGAGGCGGGGGCGGCGGCGAGTGGGAGGAGGAGGCGGCGGCTCTGCAGGCCTGCGAACGATCGGGTTGAAAAGTTTCTGCTGTCGCCTCCCCCTTGCGTGCGGAGCTGTGCCTTGCGTGCGCCGCTTCTGGGAAGTCGGCTCCAGTCATCTCCCTGGGCGCTGCTCGCGGCCGCCCCTCCCGCGCTTCTCACGCCACCTGACACGCCGAGGCGGCGGCCAAGGGCGGGGTGCCTGCCGCCACCACCCTCGGCGACGCACGCACAGCTGCGCCCGCAGGGCCTGCCCGAAGGATGCTCGATCGCAGCCGGCTCGCCCACCCCTGCTCACACAGCCTGGTTCCCAAACACGGGGCTGCTGGCCATGGGGCGCTTCCTTCAGAAGGAATGCCACCGGGTGTCTCCCAAGGCCCTGGAAGCAGCTGCTCCTGTTCCGCCAGGTTAAGGCACAGAGTCGCGCTTTCAAAACACCTGTGAGAACAAGGTTTCTGCCAGGCTCTGGAAAGGGCGAGCTGTGGAAGAGGCAGAACACGTCTCGCTAATGAAGTAAGAATTGTAGCTCCAGGCCATTGGTGTGCTCTCCTGACTACCTACTCCCAATACCGTGCTAAATTGTCTCGTTGACAAAAAAAACAAGCAAACAAAAATAAACAAGAACAACAGATTCAGAGAGATTACGGGACTTAAACAAGTCACACGGTTCTCTAGAGGTGGAGACAGGATTTGAACTCACAAAGTCCTGCTCCAAATCCCTCATACAGGTTTATATGGAGTAAAAGCACGCTTAAGAGGCCCAAAGCTGTCTTTCTTAACCGCTAAGAGCTAGCCAGAGGCTCAACAGCCAATGCACTTGTTAACGACCTGGTCACCTGAACTAGATACCTGGCACCCAGAAGGCACAAGGAGAGAAGCAACTTACACAAGTGACCCCCGGCCTCCCTCCCACCCGTGCCGGAACACATAGGCACGCTCATAATGCAGGTGGTACGTTTTTAATCCCCTGGAAGGATCTGATGCTTTTGGTTCATGACCAAGGGTTGTAAGATTCACAGAGAAACAGTACGCTCACCACACTTGTATTGGCCATATATCAGGGAAGCCCGTGGAAGGTACCTCTCAGTGGTTGTTGGAATAATTGATTACATTATGAAGAAACTTACAAAGGTGTCTGAAAAAGAGTCTAACGTCTTTCAATAAAATGCCTGGCCTGCTAAGAAAATGCCTTTTACTGAGTGTTTTCAGTAACTTTTGTTTTGCTTTCTGGATGAGATTGTATATACACCATGATAGGGTACTCAGATCAGAGATAAAGTTGGCCTGACGGGCAAGCGCATTAGTTTAATAACAAGCATTAGTTTCCCCGAGCTGCACTGGCCCACTATGTCTGTCTTAGTTTGTTTTTCTCATGTTGTAACAAAATACTTGAGACTGGCCCATTTACCGAGGAAAATAGGCTTACTTGGGATCACAGTTCAAGAAGCAGGACAGCCCTCCAAGAGCATTATGCCAACCCCTGAGAAGAGGGAGAAGGGAGGGGGCAGCCAGACCACGGCCCATTAGAGCACCATGCATCCAGGAGAGCCCACACACACATGATACAGTATGCTCTTTGCTCCCAGTATCCAGAAGCTCCCACTACATGACTACACTGAGAAATTCAAGTGGCAACACATATGCAGACCACAATGAGCTCTTCCAAGGAGGTCTGTGGCAACCTTTTAGGGTTCAGCTTTAGTGGGACTCCGGCTGGTGGTCTGGGACGCCACCAGCGCTAGTCTCCCACCACATGGATTTAGGACGTGAGAACGGGCAACCATCCCGTGCACATTCTGAACCCATCTTGTACCATCTCTGCCAGAATCAGAGAAGGTGGGAGCTGCCTTCCGACAAAGTCAACTGCTTTTTTAAACTCTAAAGCAAGGCTCAGACCTCCTGTTAAACAAATGCTGTGTAGCTTTTAAATCATCCTGTGCGTGTGTGCCTGCCACAGCGAATGTTGTCTTTGGGCACAGCTCCTGTTCTAGGACATGCCTCAAAAAGTAGAGAAACCAGTTGGATGGATGCTGTCAGGGAGATAGGCTCTTATCAAAGAAGACAAACCTATGTGGCTGGCCTCAGGCTCTTCTGGGCTTTTTTAGTACAAATGTCACTGAAGGCGTAGACTTAGTCCTCAATTAAAACTTCAGCGTAAATATAGATAGATAGATAGATAGATAGATAGATAGATAGATAGATAGATGGATAGATGATAGATCCAAAGGGCTGATATGTATTCCTGATCCATCCCAAATTGAGTTCTGCTCCCTATTAACCAATCATCCGTGTTGGGGCTTTGGGATAGCCATCAAAATTTCTCAGCCAACCTGTGAATCTCCTCCCAGTCAACAACACAGAAAGTGGGCAGGGGAGGATTCACCCTGTGAAATCTCAAACTTGAACTTTTCTTTCTTTCTACTTCCTGGCAGCTAACTTTCAAAAAGAGCAGGTAAGCTAGAGAATGGTTTAGAGTGGGAGTTTAAAATGCCTTTACAGCTGAAGTTTACACAGGGCAAAAGTGCACCAGCTCATGGAGTGACCCAGGCAAGGTGGATCTCCCTAGCCTTTGCATCTGTCCTTGGGGTTCTGCACAGCCTGACCCAGCTCTGAAATGTGCCTGTCTAACAGCAGAGCAGGGTGATAAAGCCATTCTCTCCTTGATCCTTTAACCTCGATGGAACTCTCTAGACAAACGGAGGATATTGTTTTTCATTTTCCTTTTCTAAAATTAAATGCTTACTAGGTTACTAAGAAAATGTGTGTTCTGACAAAATTCCCATAAAAAAGATAGACTGTGCACTTGGGCTCTGGGAAGGCTAATAGCAGATCCAGGCTTCAGGACCAGGCGTTTAGTTTTGTTCCTTTGACCTCTTCATTTTTGGTATTATCTGTCTTTTTCTCCCAAGTTTTCTTCTTTTTCCACAATGAGATAAAAATTCAGGTCTGGAAAAAAAAGCTGTACTCATGCCAAGGTTTGGAAAGAATAATTGGTAGTTAAATAACCTAAGTGGCTGTTTTCCCTACAAAATCCCAAAGGGAACATAGGAGCTGGATAATTATATGTTAGCATTTTTTTGCCTTGACCTCAATGGAATTTACCCCTTCTGCTATTAAAGAAGCTGTGACCTTTTATTTTGCTGGATTCCTTTGGTTAGAAAGTTCTGGATTCTAGGAGGCTCTTTCACTAGCGGAAAGCTCCAGAATAGACTTGGCTATGGTATAATAAACCTTGGGCTCCCCTTTGACATCCATCTGAACGAACACACCTTTCAAGTGGCATGCCTGAGGATGGCCATCAGGCTGCCTCTGAGCCATTCTCCCGTCACTTAAGCAATGCCCCAATCCCTTAGTCACCATTTGAACAACCTGGCTTCATGCACTGAGTCCAGTGCCTGTGCCTACTGGACAACATAAGTTTTCAACATCCCTGTCGAAGCATATATATGCAACTGAACATATCCCAGGTCTGTTGTCTTGTCCAGACCACAGAGACACTGGTTTTGTTTGGTGGGGGGAGTTGCAAGGGCAGAGGACAAATTCAAGGGGACAGGGAGATAGACAGGATCAGAATGCATGATGCCAAATCCACAAAGAATCAATAAAAGTTCAAAAGAATCCCCACCCACATCCGTGTTGGAAGGTTAATTGGCTTTATCTTGTGTAGGTCTTGTACAGGCAACCACAGCTGCTGAATTTCATAAGTACAACAGCCCCTGTTATATCCAGAAGATGTTGTTTTACAGCAGCCTCTCCAGAGCTCCGATTTTACGATTGCCCTATCCCCTCTTCTCTGGTGTTCCCTGTGCGTGGGAGGGAGGCGGTGTGATACAGGCTTTTAGGGCTGAACACTTCCAGACACTTATTCTCTGCAAATTACCGGTTATGAGGGACTGTATTAACAATTAGCTACTGCAAAACGAGGCCTTCCTGATGAGGGCTGAGAGGGTGCATGGAGCCACAGTTGGTTAGACAGGTATCTAGAAGGAAGCCTGTTACTGTGTTGAGAAGAACCATGTTTATGCTTTTGTCAACCCTGAATAACAGAGACTAGATCAGGACACTAAAAGCATATGAAGGAGCCTGTCTGTGGCCAGGTTGACTGTGGCCCTCTTCCTGATTTCCTCAAGACAATGATCCCTGGGCTATGGTTTGCACTGAGCTCTACACTTACATTATTCTATGATCATAATATTATGCACATTTTATTATTGTCCGTTTGATGAGATATGCACTTCAAGTTTTTTATTTACACGTATATGCATGTGTGTCAGAGGAGGGCATTGGGCCACCCAGAACTAGACATACAGT